CCGGGAAACTTGTAATCGGTTGAACCCATAAACGTCATAGAACCTTTAAATTTTGCATCCAGAACACTTGTAATTTAAATTTTATTTTAATAAACAGATTATATTATAACGTTAAAATTCTTTTATAACACTTTTACCTCATTCTGCATCCTTTTTCAAGTGAGCAAGTAACATTAATTAGTATACTAATTATAATGATACTATGCAATATAATGTGAAGTTTCATTTTGATATCAAATATTTAATAATTGCAAACTTATACAAATATAATGTTTATTTGAATCGTATATGAAATATCAATGAATATTTTATGAATTTTAATTATTATTTATAAAAACCAAAACCTATTATATAAAACTAGTTTTATAAAANCAATGAATATTTTATGAATTTTAATTATTATTTATAAAAACCAAAACCTATTATATAAAACTAGTTTTATAAAATTTTATTATTGAAATAAAAATCCTTTTTTGTGAATATTTTAAAAAGGATAAATTAACTGAAGGTTAACTAACCACAGGATTACATTACATTTTCATAACAGTACTTAAATTTTAATTTTAAAATTACTACTTAAAAATCAAATTAATTCAAATATACAGGGTAAATTATACTGCTTATAGCTACAGTAATTCTAATACAGTATTTTAAATCATTATTTCTGGTATAAGTATAGAATGTTTTAACTTTTAAAAATTATAATAAATTAAATGTTTAATTTCTTATTAAATTAGTTTAAAACTAATTTTTAATTAAAATAGAATTCATCAGGATTTTAAATAAATTGATAATTGATTTGAAAAATGTTTTATTTTATTAAATTCCGATAGTAAGTTACAATGTGTAGAAAATATATAAAATAGGATGGCTAACAATATTTTTAAAATAAAAAAAATACTTATAAATTATAAAAAGTTTAATAGCTTAAGAACTATAAGCTAATAGTTTAAAGTTTAACAAAAAACTTAATACTGTATATTAAAGTGACTCAAACATCTCGATAACAGCCGGGAATAGTGTCGTGTATTTGAGTTTAATTGAATCAATTTTAGGCAATTGTTTGAGTATTTTATCGCATTTATCCGAATCGTCGTATTCGCTGCAAAACACGTTCATCGGGTCTAACATACCCTTCTCAATATACTGCTCAATATATTCCTGATTCTTTGCTGAACATACAGCATCAGGTTTATTATTGAACACCGCTAGCACACAATTTTTCCACTGTATTTGCGAGCTATTCAATTTAAATAAATCAAAATGTTTATATTCAAATAAATTCATTTAGAATTCATTCACATATTTAATCAATGTAAATTGGCCAGCATTAAATTAATTAAATGCAAAATACTATTCAATGATATACTAACCAACACATGAGTGGTATTTTTGTATTACTTTTGGTACTGTTATTATTGATGGCAGTAATCCTTTTGATGTTATTTTGCCAACACTTCACGATCTCCTTATGTCCAGCGTTTCCACATTTGCTGAATGAAAGAAATCTCTTTTTCTCAGTCTGTAGTCTGCACTGCGATTTCCAGGCAATTCCAAAAGTGTGTACCAAGTACAATTAGTAATGTTATAAGGATCAAAAAAAATAATTTGAGATAAGCGCAACTCACTGACGATTTGACTGTCATTTTCTCCACTGAATGCAATGTCACCGATAATATGGTTTTTGCGATATCTTTGGCGCACTTTTTCATGTAGTTTCGGCTATCGGTTACGTATTCTCGCATTTGTCTTCATATAAATCAGTTTTATGAGTGAGTGAGTGAGTGAGTGAGTGAGTGAGTGAGTGAGTGAGTGAGTGAGTGAGTGAGAGAGAAATGCTCAATACTTGCAATAAGTCTCCATCTCTTTTTCATTGTTGGGATACTTGTAATCCAATGATCCAACCACATTCACCACATTTTTGAATTTTGCATCCAGCACACTTTTAAATACAATTTACAAAAATATTAATATAGAAATAGTTGTTTTACCTGATTAAATACATAAAAACTTTTAATTAAATTGTAAGAATAATAATTCATTATTTTAAAACTTTGATGATTCACTTATTCATAAGCCATAACTTACTTCATCCTGCATCCTTTTTCAAGTGAGCATGATCCATTTATCAATACAATTAATATAATTGTGGCAAACAAAGTTTTATACAAATCCATATTTTAGTTATATACGTATATTTAGTAAAATTTAATATATGTAAAATAGTTTTTCACAAATGAATAATAACTTGGCAAACTAATAAACATTTGTTACTAGCACCCATATTATATAAGAATTTCTTGATAAAAAATATCAAAGTACTTTTACTGACATAAATTACAAACCTATTATTTAAAACAGGTTTTGATTACATGTAGACAATACTTGTCCTGTCAAACAAAACTAATCACAAAATGATTATAAATATTATTATATGTTTGACAGTAATTTAAAATGACTAAAAAAACATTATAATGTAATTATGAAGGTTGTCAAGGTTAAGGTATTTTTCAATACAGTATACCTCAATACTACCTCAATACATTAAAAGCTTATTATTTTTATTTCTAGGAATTCATTTTTACATTAACTATGATAATAAGAAATATAATAAAAATGAGATTAAAATCTTATATTTATTTAAAAGTCAATTTACAATATTATATTTAAATTAAAATAGAACCGAAGATTTTAAATATATTAAAATGTCATAGATTAAGAGTTTGCTTTATGACTTTATAAAACATTAACTTTGAAGGTGATTAAGTACTCATTTTTTTATCACAATTTAAAAAATTACCAGTGTTAATGATTTATAAAAACTTTTATTTGAATAAATTCTGACAATGAGTTACAATGTTTGAGAAATATCTAAAAGCAATGTAAAATGTGGACATTGAATTGTTTATTAAACTTATGATAATAATTTTATAACAAATTACTATAATTTTTTATTTAAATGATTAATAATTGTATATAAAAATACTTTATATTAGCAATTATAATTACTCCAAAAATGATTGTGGGTTAAATAGAAACAATAAATTGTAAAATATAATATATTTTGATACAATATATATAAGTTATAATGCAGTTTAGGGGTCATTCAATAAGTACGTACGCAAAAATTTGTCTAAAAATTGACCCCCCCTTCCCCCGAAACGCCCCTCGTACATAGGACTTTAACATTGTGTACGCATGCCTTAAGGAATGGTGTGGAATAGGTATTTCCCCTACCGGTGTGAATATTCGGTAATTTTTTCACAATTCCGTCACATTTGTCGGAATCATAATAATCGGCACAAAATAAATTCATGGAATCAAACATTGCTTTTACTTTCCAATTTACTTTAATAACGGATTATAAATATAATATGATAACCAAAATAAAATATTTTAATATATAATTCAAAATTAAATCAATCTTTGATACCACTGTACCTCATACGACATCCCTTTTCAAGTGCCAAGGTAGTGCAAATTAAACAGATTAATACTGGCAATAGCATCTCTATTATTATTATTGTAATTAAATTTATAGTTTATAAAATAAAACCTATACTTTTATATTGGTTGTTAGATAATACTGTAAATTTTAACTCTATGTAACACTAGTTTTTGTAAAAAATAACTTTTTAAAAAGTTTTTTTTACTAAATTTACTCAACCCTTTTTAAATCACTAATTTCAAAATATAAATCCAGTTTTTGCTTGTATTGAGTATATAATTTGTACTTATAAATTCATATTAAAGGTTATGATACCCATTTATGTGATTTAATATTTGCGGACCCAGTAATCAAAAAGTATTTTCAAACTTAGCTTTCATAAGACCAAACAGTACTGTTTGGTATGAATACTTTCATATGAAATAAGGGTTTAAATATACTTTTTGATTATTGGGTCCACATTTATTTATATTAACATTGATAATTTATCCACGTTTTTTAATTACATTAAAATTCTTTTTAGTACAAGTGAACTAAAATGATATAATCTATAATATATTAGTAGAAATGTTTTATTTATACTCAACCATTACCAAAATTAACAAAAATGTTACTAAAAATAGCATTGCAAATAAAATTATAAAATTATAAAATTATAAAAACAAAAAAAACTTTAAAACTCAGAGCGACTCAAACAACTCGATTAACGCCGGGAATAGTGTCGCGTATTTGAGTCTAATTGAGTCGGTTGTAGGCAATTGTCTCATCAATGTATCGCATTTGTCTGAATCTTGATAATCGGCGCAAAATATGTTCATCGGGTCTAACATGGCTTTCTCGAAATACATGTCCAGGTAGTCGACATTCGCCGCCGTGCACATACCGCCCACCCTTTTATTTGCCTCACCCACCACACAATTCTTCCATTGTATTTGCGAACTGTTATTATATACGGGATATCATTCAAAATCATTGTCAAATTAAAAATAACTAATTAGATTTTAAATATTATATATTAGATATTTATTATTGTTATTATTTTTTCAATTAAATCAATATGGTAAAGAGTATTTATAGGCTATTGATTTATTAGTACTTATAAACAATAGCACTATTATACTTTTTAAAATATATTCATATTATTTAATAATATAAACTGATACAAAAGCAAACTGACCAACACATGAGCGGTATTTTCGTATTACTTTTGGTGCTGTTTTTATTGATGGCAGTAATGGTCTTGATGTTATTTTGAGAGCATTTCACAATATCCTTGTGCATATTATTCGCACAATTGCCCTGTAAAATAAATTTTTGTCTCTCACTTTTAACTCTGCAGGATGTTTTTATTAACATTTTCTCCATCGCATGTAAGGAAACCGATAAAATAGTTTTTGCGATATCTTTAGCGCATTTTCGCATATAATTTCGGCTATCGTTTATCGAGTCTTGTGTTTGTCTTCATATAGATTTATATGCAGTATATTTTAGGGAGAGAGTGAGTGAGTGAGTGAGTGAGAGAGAGAGAGAGAGAGAG